ACGTTCTTCTTTATTCATATCTATTGGCATTATACGTGATGATGAATTAAATAAAGCTGTTGATGATGTTGATGGACCACCAACTGACATTAAACTTTCTGTATCAAGTATACTACCCATTCCACTATCTTCACTATAGACACGTTTAACTCCATCATTTGAAACATTTCGCATCATATCCATTGCTTGATAAAATGAACTCATATCATATGCATCACTCGACTAGAAAAAAATACAAAAAAGAAATCTTTTTGTTTTGTTTTTATATCTTAGTTACATTCATCGATGTAAAATTTTGTCCAATATCACCATTATTTATTTGTGATGATGATTGTCCATTTTGTGTTGTAAGAAAATTATTTATCATTGATGTTGATCGTAATGTATTTAGTGATGTTGGATTTTGACTTGTTGATGGTGGAAGAAATGAAAAGAAATTATTGTGTCCTTTTTTGGTTTGAATATTTGGATTTGTTAATGATGGTACCGGACGACGAGATCTAAAAAAAATCAATAGTTTATTTTCAAAAAAAAAAATTAAATAATAAAATCAACATACGATGTTGCCGGAAAACCATGTGGAATTGATGATGTATTCCATGTTGGTGATTGAGATTGTTGTTGTTGTATATGAGGTGGTGGACCAATTGATGGTGATTGACTATTCCATCGTCCATTGAGAGGTAATGTTGGAATACCATTACCACTACGAATAGTTTGTGTTGGAAAATTATGTGCTGCTGTTATTGGTCTTCTTTGCACTGCCTTTAGAAAAAAAAAAAAAAAAAAATTATTAGTTCAATTTCTATATAAAATATGATGTATCGGCTGTTGCTTATTATAGGGAAATTGTTTTATTCTATTTATTTTAGTACATATTTCTCCATGATCATTTTACTTAATCACTAGCACTACTCTTGTTTTGGGTGGGTAGTGGCACCCTCGCTACTTGTGCTTTACTATTCAGGATACAAATTACCAGTATAATAGCTGCTCGCTTGCGCGTATTCTTGATAACACAATGCACCTAGTGAGGGTACCACTGCCAAAATAAAACAAGAGGAATACTAATGTTCTGGCTCCGCTACTATTGCTAAAGCGTCTAACATGATCTGAGATGCATAGTGGACAATTTCTATGGAGCATGTGGATATTTTCTGTCAAAAAAAACTTTTTATTTTAAAAATTGATACATGGTACATCATTCACTGATTTCAAATATGTCTTTATTTTTCTCTCAAAATGCTTCTATGATTAAGAAAAATACGAAAACTTGTATCTTAATCTAGAAGTATTTTACTATAATTAAGTGTATATTCCAGATATAGAAGAACATCCTCGGAAAGTTTCGTCGATATCAGATTAGTGAAAAAAAATGATAGTTAATTTTACTAGAAACGTCTAGCATAAAAAAGAATAATTATTTTTTTTAGAACGAAAATTTATAAATTAATAGAGCAGAAGTCCTAGCTTCAAACTATATAAGATTTTTTTGTCCAAATCTTTAAAAAATAATGTTTTTTCGCTAAAAGTGCTTAAAAAATTTGATCTTTTTGAGACTAAGTTTTTTCTAGCTGAGACAAAATTTTTCATACTATTCATATCTTGAAAAAGCTCGCTTTCATTCTTTCATCTTTGCTCCATCTAATACTATAAATAATGTTTGTTACAATCCTTAAAGAAATTGAAAAAAAAAATCGTCCAAAAATTAACCTAAACATCATGATATCTGACAAAATTAAACTGTTTGACAGAGTACATTTTCTGAATCTCTAAGCCAAGCTTCATACAACGGTAAAAAATCTTTTAATTTGCATGTTTAACTTCTGAGAAAAAAAAATACTAATTTTTTTTCTAATGTCATCCGAACGACTAGTCCCATAAAAAATGAGCAATCCAACGTTCAAATGTCTACTGTGGAATGAATGTCCAAAGTTTTATCTCTATACTTCATTACTTCTTTTCGATTGTGCTTCATAAAAACTATTCAAAATGAAAACTTACTTGTTGATAAGACATTTGTTGTTGCATTGTCATAAGAGGTGTTGGTGATGTTGTTTGTGGTTCAAACATTCGATTACCATTATGTACATCAAATGGATGATCACCGGATGTACCACTCAATGGATCAATAATATTACTCCATGATGAACCTTGGAATGTTGTTTGAAGATCAGAAAGTACACCATTTTGATAATTATTTGATGTTAATTTTCCATCATTAAGTATCCCATTTCCATTGATATTTATTTGTTGTTGTTGTTGATCACAATGAAGTGATAATGGTGGTGGTGGTGGTGGTGGTGATGATGATTTCGGTGTTGTTGATGTACTATTGCTTGTATTAGCAGGAAGTACAAATTTCGTAGCCGAGCTTTCGTTACTCATTGAAGTATACGAATACCAGCTCGAGGAAAAGAAAGACCTTAAGAAAATTAAAAAAAAAAGATTTATAGTTCAAAATCTATAAAAAATACCTCGTAGATGCGGCTGAAGAAGTTGTAATTAACGAAAACATCCGAAGAAATGTGAAAAAAAAATGTTTATCTGTTTGTTATTTAAAGAAATTTTCATTATCACTTTAGCGCTCTTTTCTTTTGTTTTCTAAGACTTAGAATATTTCATTTACTTTGTATAAGTGTTTCATGTATGTGTAAGCACGCTACACAATTATAGAAGAATAAAAAGACAACGATTGAACTATGACAACAACACCAACAACGTTTTGTTCTCGCACATCGAGATGCAAATTTTTCTTTTTCTTCGTCGGAAAGAAAAAAACAAAAATTTTCTCAATAGGAGACAAAAGAAACAAGAATTTCTTGTTCCACATATAATATACTTGTGATCGTTATCTTTTCTCTATTTCATTTCTGCTGTTTTTTTTTTATCTATTAGTTATGCATTTTTATTTTGTTTGTTGATCTTATATTCCGCTTCATTTGATACTACAATGTTATGAGTTCGTGTCATTTAATTTTTGTCTACTTAGAAATAGCGTCGGAGAAAAAAAAAAAAAGAATTGTCCTATCAAATTGCTAATGTAGACAAACGTTTGTTTGCGGTCTTCTTTTTATTATTATATATTAAATATAACAATGAAAATAATTTATTTTGTTTGTTTAATAAATATAAAAATAAAATTTTATCTACGTAATTTCGATCTAGTTTTTGAAAAGAAGTAACATATGTTTTGTATTATTTTATGCATAAATAAGCCGACTATTTATTTTTAATTAAATTATATTCGTCGTATGAAATTATTTAAAATTAAATAATACTTGAGAAACTTGTAAAATTTGTATTAAGTATTATGATGAAGAATTTTTATTATTCATAACTCAAAGAGATATGAATTTTACTAGTTTGTTTATTGATCACGCACTGCCTTCATGTCCGCTTATTACTGTCATGAATTTTTTTTTCTTCTTTCCGTCACTATTTTGACATAATCACATACGTATATACCAGAAATAATTTTTTCGTATTATGTTGTCATATTTAAATATATATTCTAAATTTCTTTTATCTAGTACTTCCTATTACTTTTCTTAATGAGTTCATTAGCTCAATGTCAATTGAACAATCAACAAGACAATATTAAAAATAAGCAATGAAATCTTTTTTTCTTTGTTTTGTTTATTTTTCATGAAAAGTTCATTCTTAACTTTTTAGTTTTGAACAGAAAAATTTTATATTAATATCTTCAACTATTCTTCATAAACATTGTTTTCCGTTGATTTCGTGCAGAAAGAAAAGACACTAAAGGAAAAAGTCTCTTAACAGCAAAGAAAAAAAAAGAAAGAATCGATTTTATGATAAGAAAATCTCGCTGCTTTTCTTCTCTAATTGTATACACTGTTCACATTCACAGATTTGTAAAACGGTCCATATTTTATTCAAGACTGAAAAAAAAAAACATTTTTTTTTCAAAATTTCTATTCATTATAATCTATCATAAAAAGATTTAACTGACTGGTACTTCATTGGATTGAGACTAGTTCATAATTTGAGTGCTGACTATGGCGATCAGAAATAGAGTCCACCGGGTTCGGGTTCGAACATTCTTGAACTCGATGGGCTCTAGTCAGAGATGTCCATCATGGCCTTAGAAACAACCAGACCCTCGCAATGGTTTTCTAGAAATTCTTCGACAATGTCTTCTGTCATTATGCGAAATTAGCATAGTTAGATTGAATCCATTAGATTTCGACTGTTGAACTTGTAAATACTCAAATCGGATGCAAATTCATATAATTTTACAATCTTCTCAAAAAAAGATGCTACCACGATTGTAGTTTTGAAACACTTTTGGCGTCTGAGTGACTTTGAAAAAAATTACCGCGGGTAGCCCCATCATATACAGCTCTGCTTCACAATGATCATATCTTTTATGGTCGTGTAAGATTTGTGTCAAATGCTATATTCTCACGATTTATGTGAATAGCGATCATTTTAATATTTGCTATTACAATTTCAATAGGAAAATTAATTCTTTTGTAAACAACAGAGTTGTCGAATACAGAATAGAAGAAGTATTAGTAAACAATCTTCAAGAAGGAAAACATTAGAGGTCATAAAGTTCGTATAAGATATCTCGAACATATTGACACAACTAGAAAATGACGTCGTATTTCCCACTACTACATATATTATCACATAGGAAAAAAAAAAACAATTGTTTTTTTTTGTTTTACATGGCTCATATCGTCAATCGTATTTTTTCTAGTTGAGTGCTGCTATTAATTAATTGAAAAAAAAAGACTATTATCAAGATCAAATCTAATGATTTGAATATAGTGCATGTCTAATTATTTTGTTTTTTTGTATAAATTACCTTTAAAAAAAAATTCTTCGACGACTAGAAATATCGACCGTCTTCTGCTTGATAACACACGTACATTCAAATAAAATAAAATATTCAATCTAAAACAAAAACAAAAACAATAAATGCATGATGAACAAAAACAAAAAACAAAAACAAAATATGTTTATTTGATTTAAATCATATTTAATTGATACTGTTCATGTAAAGTATTTAAATTATTTATTAATTGTTCAAACATTTGTTCATCAAAATCATTCTCTTCCCAACGTTTTGATAAACGTTTATAATTTATTTTTTTAATATTATTAAATAAATAATCAAAAAAATTCAATGAATATTCATCATCATTAAATAAACCTGTTATAAATGACATATGATTATATTTTTCAATTGAAGAATTTGTTGATAAAAATATTTTTGTACCATATTGTTCACGTAAATAAGTTGATATTAAGTCTGCTGATGTTAAAATATTAAAATTATATAATTTTTGATTATATAATTGTTTTTGTTCAATACCACGTATAAAATAATGACATCCAATAGGTTTTTTTAATTGAAATAAATCATCTAATTCAAGATAATTAAATAATGTTTTATCATTTAAATTTAATGGAATTTTTGAAAATAAATTTAAAAAATTTTTTTTCATTGGACATAAAGAATCAGCAAGTAAATCAAGTGTTAATGTTGATGATGATGATGATAATAATAATGAATGTTGAATTGATAATGATAAATTATATTTATCCAATTCATTTAAACATGGTATTGTTGGCATTTGATTTTCATTTATTGATTGTATTAATGATAAAGATAAATTTAATAATGATGATTTATTACCAATACCAAATGACCATACAGGTTGCTTAGGACATTCATCACATAAATAATCTTGTATTGATGTAAATAAACCAGAAAAACTATTATTTATATCATATAAACAACGAAAACCTTGTAATGAATCACATGATTCTAATAAATAATGTAAAGAATTTTCAACTTGATCAGAAATTTTTTTATATATTTGTTGTCCAATTGGATAAATATCAAACTGATTATCTTGATTATTTGTTGAATAATACCAATAATCAGTTAATGGTATTAAAGATTTTGAATGAAATTTAGCATTTGTTTTTAAATTTTTTGACCAAAAATTATTATCAATTTGACGATTAACTATTTCAATTGATGAATTATTATTATTTAAGGAATTTATATTTGTTTCATCATCATTTAATAAATATCCAAATGTATTTCGATAATCAATAATTAATACACGTGGTGATGGTATATTTGTTTTTTTATTATATGTATAATATGTATTATAATCAATTAATGTATTATTATGAGTTTGTTCAATATCAAGTTGATTCCATAATTCTGTACCAACATTATTTGACTCATTTCCAATTTGTAATGTAATAATTTCACGTACCATATCTGAAACTAAATGGTTTAAATCAATGATACACAACAAAATTTATGAATTACTCCATAAGTTAATTCATAGATGTCTGACAAGGGGAGATTCTTCAACAAATCCAGATCATATTTGAAACTGAATATCAGTCGGTTAGATCCGATTCCCAGTATGAACCAGTCTGTGTATTTCAAATGAACTATGAATATCCTGAAAAAAATTCGTCCATTTTGTTTATTGCTGCGAAGATATTGCATTCATACAGTTTCTTTTTAAATGAATGCAGAAACAGTAGAAAAATTGATTTTCGAATTGAAACTTTGCATAGTAGGAGGCCGTAACGAGAATAGTTTTTACGTAGATACAATTATGGTAATGGCATGTCTTTTATATCGCAAAGTGTCAAATCGACATCAGTTTTTCTTGATTACGACACTGACCTGAAAAATACCGTAAAAATACAGTATCTCTGCAGTAATAACCTAAGGACGCGAACTCTTTTCAGGATATTCATAGCTCATAGTCTCGACTTATCGGAAGACTTTCCTCGGGAATGAATTTCGAGTCGATGTTCTACAATTTTTTTTCAGTGCATAAATCGTCGCAGTGGCAGATTTAGGAGATGATCGTCTTCGGTGCAAAAAATTTTTTCGGATTTTCCCATATGAAAAAGATAAAAAAATGAGCTGGTACTACTTCTAATGATCTTCAAAACACGTTTTATGATTATGATCGCCTCATATACAAAAAAAAACATCCTAGATCCGTCATTGAACTATAGTGTTGGGTTGAGTATCTCTAATACAGCCGACGTCAGTAAAAGTCTTAGTAAACAAAATTGTAAAATCGATTCTAACATATTTTGTGAAACACGATTACTTGAGTCCGTTGGATACGAAATTTTCGGATCCCCGGAATCAGCTAACTAAAAATTTTCATGCCTCGAATCAACCCGACGGATTCTAACGATCACAAAAGGTATATTAATAATGTCTTATTATAGTATATGACCTATTTCCTTATTACATTTCTGGAGAAGGATAATGAAGAAATATGTCCCTATGATTAACAAGTGTCGCTACATTATGTTTCGCATTTTAATTTTGCAGGAACTGCGCTAACAGCTTTTCTTCGAAGTATAGATAATTTCGTGAATTTACTCAACAAAATCCGTCTGGATTAAGATCATCGATATTATTTATCCAATCTATTAGATTGGATAAGGACTCAATTTTGGAAGTTGTAAGAAGAATCTACCTTCCGGCATTTATGATTAAAGTCTAGTTTTATTTTTTTTTAAATAGATCATTGAATAAAAATGAAATATAAATACAATTCTATTCATGTCTAGAATCTCGAATTTTATATATATATATAGAAAAGTATTCAATGATATACTCAACAAAAATGTTTACATTGACTAAAAAACATATCGATCGAATTAATTAGAGAGAGAGAGAGAGATATGAATAATAAATGCAAATATGTTTTAAAAAGGTCAATGTTGTCTCATTTGAAATGTCGAATAAATGTCTCCTAGTTCAGATAATAAAGACAACATCATATTAATTCAATATTACGGTCGGTTTGTTTTTTAACTATGATTCTAAATTAAATATATCACTTCTTTTTTTTTTTTTTTTGTAATTACACGATTCATTTAATAGACAATTGTTAGAAAAACATCAATAATATTTGAATAAACATAATTGTTGTAATCATCGATGAGAAGTAGTGGAACCTAAACAAAAAAATAAAATAAAATAAAACTTTAGTGTTTACTTTGTCAGTCAAAATTCTACAAACGATCGGATTGATAAATCCAACACATTTCTTATGTTGATTATACACATAATACAACAGTTCTCTTAAGAATATTCTGTTTATCCAACAATCTTTACAAAATGCTCATAAATCAATCAATGTTCGATGTCAATAATTTATAAACACGAATAGTATTACTCAATTTATTGTTTTTATTGAGAAAGAAATATAAACTATACTTTTTAGGTTTCTTTCCTTTTCATTTATTTCCGTATATGCAAAAAAAAAAAGAAATAGGATTACACCTGAATGAAACATTTAAAACAGTACTTATGTGTCTCGTTCTTCAAATATTCCTAATATTGAATAAGAATGACAGTCATTTGGTTTGATAGATTTATTAAAGAAAAAAAAAAATTTCTTTTGTATCTATATGCTTGATAAATAAAAATAAATATTACAAGTGGGTCAACTTGATTATAATATTAAAAATCCTACGATATAAATTTATTGCTCGAAAGTCCGAGTAAAATTAAATGATGTTTAAAAATTCAAAAATTTCGTATTCTTTATCATATATAAAATAAATCATTATTATTTAATATACTATAAAAATGTCTAGATTGTCATAAAAAATATATTGAATACATTAGAATTTATATTGAATTCGATAGAAATTTAATCATTTATTTAGTTGTAATTTTTATTTTTCTATTTTTAATACGAACTATTTACTGTAGTTGTCTATATACTCGACTTAAAAAAAAATTTCCACTTAATCTTGCAAAAAAAAAAAATTATTCTGAGAGTAATGATATAGATACTAGCTCCACTCCAGTAGTTGCTAAATTTCTATATAATCAAATGGAGTATTTACATAACATTAATTCAAAAATTTCCTGACCTTAAAAAAAAATTCTAAGTAGAAAAATAAACACTGGTTCAGTATATTCCTAGTTCTGATAGTACTATTAAGGTTATATACGCAAAACCAATCTAGAACCAATAAAAAAAATGAAACCAGAATAGGAAAAAAAAGTGGTTTCGTACGACTGTGACTCACAAAAACCTAATTCAAGTAATCTTACCTTTTTCACGTTATTTTAATCAATATTCATATAATCACATGAGAAAAAAAATTACATTAAGAATAAAATTTTATTCCTACCTGTATATTTTTTAATAAATAGAACCAATGTATTTTTGATTTGAGCCATAAGAATCAGAGACTATGACACGTCATTATAATACATACGTTTAAATCTTATTATTATTTTACTTTTTTTTGTCAAAAATTTCTTTCATGTTTAATTGAAAATTTATCAATCATAATCGATATGTATTTTTACATACGTATCATGATGATTATTTCATGTAACTGACAAAAGATGAATCGAAAAAAAAAATAATAATAAACAATTGACAACAATAAACCAATGAAAACATTTATTCTCAAATTAATTGAAAATTTTATTTACTAAAAAAAAAAAGAAATTTTTATCCGAATATTCTTTTTTTTGTCATTCAATATTTAATTTTTAATCTAAAAAAACATTCTGTTCATTTCAAAAGATGTCGCCATTAAATCAGCTATTTGTTAATAAATAACATACTGCTGAGGAAGAACAAAAAAAAAGAATTGTTGTTACACTTTTGATGAGAAAATACTAGATTTTTCTAGTCTAGAAATAGATATAAAATATGTTTTGTTCAAAAAAACGAATCTTGATACATTATTATATGAAAGAAAACATAATATTGATTATATTTCAATTTAGATTAATCATTTACAAAAACATGTCAACATCAACCGAACCTAAAACACCCACAACTGAAGAGCTTGATACGGAGAAGAATTATAATGTTGAAGAGGAAGATGAATCAGAAACAGATCATTTTTCACGTGCTAAAACAAATCTTTTAAGAACACCAAGTGTTTTAAATGCTATTATTGATCAAATACATCCGGATATAATAGCAAAGTTTGTTTACATTCTGTTTTTTTTTGTTTTTAGAAAAAAGAAAAGCAAAAGAAAAAATATTTATTTTATTTAGATCACATCAATCAAATTTTGTTTTATTTCCACCAAAATTACAAGGTTGTACGGTTATGGATCTTGGCTGTGGTATTGGTCGTGATGTTTTTATTTTATCAAAACTTGTCGGAGAACATGGACGAGTTATTGGAATTGATTCTGCAAGAGATCACGTAAATATTTTTAGATTAAGTCAAAAAAACAAACAGAGAAAACAAATGTTTAACAAAAATCAAAAACTTTATTTTTCTATGACAATATCTTCTTATCGAAGTAATATAATATTAATAACAAATATCCTTGTAAATATGTAGATTTTTGAAGAAAAGATTTTTTTTTTGCTAGAATATAGTTTCATGCATAAGCGATGGAGATTCATTGTTTTGGAAGAAGCAATATATTATACATGTTTGATTTAGCGTGAAGGCCGGGGGGTTCGAAGCTTCTTCGGAAGACAAGACGTGAATAAAATACTATATCTTATCTTGTGGTCATTCACACAGTATGCAGTCCGATAGTAAAAGTTTTTTTTTTTTTATTTAAATTGAATTTCATTTTCTCAAGGCTATAATTTTTGAAAAACTTGAATGTTAATCTATTTGAATAATATCATTAAAAGAAATTCTTCTTATACATTACTTTGTAGAACGAAGGTTGTTCGACAAAACGCTGAATTTGTTTTGCATTCTACATATTGTTGAAAACTAGTAGAATCTATTGCATTTTACATGTCAAAATTTGTAGCAATGATTAATTTGAAAAATGTCATCTTATGAAAAGAATAACATTTCAAAAAAATATTTGTAACTTTTGATTCGTTTAAGTTTTAGTTTATTGACACCTATCATTTTATAGAACATTAAATTCTCTACAACAATAGAAAGTAAAAACTATTCCAAACAGAAAGAAAAATCTGTTTTTTGTAATGCAAACGATGTTTTTAATTTAAACAAATATTTGCTTACAGTTAACTAACTATAAGTCAAATCAAAGTTTTAAAAATGTATTTATAAAGAGTATAAAATTCTCATTTTAATTGACTATTTTTGATTCTCTTCTACAATCTATAAGTGAATGAAAATCGAGTAGATATATTGTACAAAGACTTTTTATACACAGATTATTTTCAAAAAAAATTTTTCATTCAATACAAATTCAGTTACAATAGTATCGAAATCAATATCAAAACTACGTTCAATATTTATTAAAGATAAACTTGATAATTTCTCTTAACCTGTTGTATTGTGAATGTACGTTTTAAGTCTTCTGTAAGGAAGAAAAACTTCGTTCACATTCACATATATTACCTGGAATTGATACATGATGAAAGTAGAATCTCCGAAGAAAATAAAACAAGTCTCATAGTGCATAAAAGTTCTTCTAACAACTATGAGAATATGGGTTATTAAAGGTAGCAATAACTTTTTATTGATGCTCCTCGCTATTATGGCGCACCGCCTATGATCCTGAGACACTGATTACACTAACATCAGTGTTCATTGATATCCGCGTTTGCTGCAATTCTATTAAAACATGCCCTATTTGTAGCGGTTTGTTGCGATGCTCGGTAAATTGAAAGGATAGGGGCGCATAAGATCACTAATCGGCCCACTAAGAATTTCTACATAAAAACTACTCAGACATGAATAAAAAGTTGTGCTGAATTGTTTGGTGATGTTATCAAATGATATGAAAATGACTTTTACTCATTCATTGAAATTGATTCATTAGATTGTGCTAATTTATGTTATCCAAGATTGAATATACATCATTAGAAAGAGTACTGAAAACTGTAGAAGTATGTACATGAATTATGAAAACATCACATCTCTTTGATAAATTTTTCCGATCATCCTTCAGACCAACAATGTATCAATATGGGTAGCGAAGTAGTTGTTGTCGACATTGTGGATGATCTTTCTCTCTTATTTTCAGTTTAAAACA